GGCCCTGTATTAAATCAGATGCTTTAATTTGAATTTTCTGCAGTTGTACCATGACTTCAGTTGGGGGAAAACTTTTAAAATAGACACCTAACAAGATTATATAACATGGGAAACATATCCTTTAGTCTCCAAGGCTTACTGCTTTCCATACATCACAATTTGCTTTAGAAGATAAATCTGGAAGATTCAATTTCTGTCAATATAGACTGGTCGTGTATGTACATCTGTGCCCATACATCCCTTCACACACAGGGTTCCCCAAAAATATATTCACCTTTATCAGCTTAAAATTTGGATGGGATTACATTTTCCCTCTGTGTGTGTGTGTGTGTATACACACACACACATGTATACATATATATACACACACCCTTAACAGGATTAAGGATTTCAACTGTAAAGAAGTGTCACAAAATTACAAATAAAACTTTAAATGATGTTTGCAACTCTGACAGTACAAGCCATGCACTGCTGGGAAGAGATGAGGTGGTACTCTGATTAAATCATTATTATAACTGGTGTAGTTATATCCACACCACTGGAGAAATTATACTGTTTATCCGGGATTGCACCACTTGACATCTATTAGGAAGTAGCAGCCAATAATGAAAGGACGAAGGCAGTGACACCCCCGGCCCATCCCCTGTTCAGATATCAGCCAGCACACCAATGCCTTAAATCAAGAAATAGCTCTCTAAGATCTACAGAGATACTTGCCAGAACACATCAGCAAGAGAGAGTCCAAAAGTGGTAGCCTAAAACCCAGAACTTCAATCCATGGCTAATACTGGATGAGAGACTCTCCCCTGGGCACACAGAAGATTGGGTGACATGGAAGGTGCTGAAAAGACTGTACTCTGGCACCACGAGATGCAGAGATAACCTTAAGAAATTGGGCTTCGAAGTGGAGTCCACGACATGCAAGTGTGGAGAAGAGCAAACCACAGACAACCTACTGCAATGCAACCTGAGTCCTGCTACATGCACAATGGAGGACCGCCTTACAGCGACACCAGAGGCACTCCAAACTTTGCATTTTTAAATACATTATAACAGTACTCTCAATTTGCTTCTGATATGATGAATAAATAAATAAATTGTTATAACATTTATTCTTCAATACAAATTTATTTGCCTAGCCTTCAATTAACCATCATAGCCATTAAATGGTGTATCACTTTTTGGAGGGATACTCTGCATATATGGAGCTAAAAATCACTGAATAATGTTTTGGACAAAAAGGGCACAAACATAACACACAAAACAGTCATTTCAAGAAAATGATACGATTTCATCTAACTTCAACCCCATTATCGATCTTAATTTTATCATAAAAATATAGCAGCAAAACTCATCACTACTCATTCTTCTCCCCGAGTTAAAAACAAAGACATTCAAAACCGTCCTATTAATGTAAATAGGCAACTGTGTTTGTTGAAACCTACTTTCAATTTCCGAGGCTGCAATCCCAAACATACATACTGTGGACAGACTTCATAACTGAATGCAACACAACTTTCTTGCAAGTATAAAAGCTTGGGATTTTGTTTCATAACTGCGATCAGAGTTACATGAGAATAATTCATTTTCTAGACTTCCAAGGAAATATGAATATGATTTAAGGAAAATGGGCTTGCTTGGTAATGTTTTTTACTCTGAACAACGTTAAATGATATCTGTCTAGTACTCATATACTTCCAAAAAGCAGTGTGCAAATACATCAGTGTGTGTGTGTGTGTGTGTGTGTGTGAAAGTAAAGCAAACTGTTAAAGGACCAATTTTTTTGGTTATTTAATATTTAATGTTTCTTTTACTTAAGTGATATTTGTCTTTACTATTCCAATGTAGCACAAATCCTATGTAAAATCATACAATGTATTTTCTGACATTAATATTGAAATCTGAAATATATATAGAAAGTCTTTATATTGAAACAAATATGTCCATTGAGAGATATACACTCATATATAAAATGCATATACAAGCATCAATACTTTCATGTATTACACTCTACATAAAATATACAGTACAGCTTGATATAACATGCTAAACTCTATATAAAAGTTGACACCTGAAATGACAGTAAAAGAAAGTTTATTAATTATCTACCTATTAGCTGAAAAACTTGCAATACACTTAAACAATACTAAAATGTCAACATAAAAGTGTGGTTGACTCCATTTAACATCTATTGTTTCAAAAAGTAAATAAAATGTGGTCTTTAAATATTTATTTTTTATTCCTCGATACCACAACAGAAATAGTGTTAAACGTATGCAATAAGACTTATTAGGGCACTTCAAGACAGGCCCTATATCCCAGGATCCGATCCCAGGTTTTCGGTTTATCCCAGATTATCTGACAGTGCAGACTCATACAATCCAGTTTAAATCTAGGATCCAAACCTGGGATATAGGGCCTGCCTGGAAGGGCCCTCACAATGAGAAACACTGCTCCCTGCCCGGGGAAACTTAATTAGCTAATAAACCAATAAAAGCTTCCTGTCCTAATTATAATAGATACAAAAAAAGCAATCACAAAAGATAGCCAACATGTAGCAGTGATTTGCTACGCAGGTACTGCTCTGTGCAGCTCAGCACCTAGCTACACCTCACAGTGAATCGCTTTCCTAATATATTTGGATACAGACAGTATTCAGTTGAAGTCAAAGACAAAAACAGTCCATTCGTATCAGTCATGATCCATATTATGTGATAAAATGCACAAAAATAAACACCGCAAGTGCAAATCTTCCCAGTAACTCTAAGGAACCTCAGGTTAAATATTATGCTAGCGTTTTAGATTTTTTGTGTGTGTTAGGAGGAACTTGAGAAACTGCAAGTCACTTCTGGGAGGGAATTGGCCATCTGGAAGGACGTTGCCCAGGGGACGCCTGGATGTTTTACCATCCTGTGGGAGGCTTCTCTCATGTCCCCACATGAGAAACTGGAGCTGACAGATGGGAGCTCACCCTGCTCTCCCCAGATTCAAACCACCGACCTTGCAGTCAGCAGTCCTGCCGGCACAAAGGTTTAACCCATTGCGCCACCAGGGGCTCCAGCATTTCAGATGACAAAGGCACTAGTCCTCTCTCATCTTGGAAGCTAAGCAGGGTCAGCCCCAGCTAGTACTTGAATGGGAGATGCCCAAGAAATGCCAAGTACAGGGGAATACAAAGCAGCTCTGAGCATTCCTTGCTTAAGAAAACCCTATGAAGAATTCATGGGGTCTCCCTAAGTCAACAGGTGAGTTGAAGGCAGACATCCCACAGACAGTAGTTGGCTTGTGCAGCTATTTAAAAGCACAACATTCCTACCATAAAGCCATATAATAATCCCACCCCACACCCACAAATAACAGATTTGCCTCATTTCCCCATCACTCTCCTTGCAGAGGAACTAAACCCTACAAAACAGAAGAAATACTTCTGCCTTTGAGGGGCTTCATTTTCTGTCTCACTCACTCACTCCGTGTTTTTTTAAATTCTAGGAAAATCAGAGAGAAAGCACAAGGTGAAACCCAAATTGTGACTACTGGTAGGGAAACAAAAGACCTCTCAAACTCTGCATATGCCTGCCATAGATGTAGGTGAAACATCAGAAGACAATGCTCCTGGAGCATGGCCATACAGCCCAAACAACTCAAAGCAACCAAGCAAAATAAACTTTCTTCACCAACAGAAGTAACAGAAGCACTCAATGTCAGGCTTGAGAAAGGCTGCATCTACACTGTAGAGTTTGTGCAGTTTGACGCCACTTTGACAGCCACACCTCAATACTATGGAATCTCATGAGAGCTGTCCTTTTACAATATTTTTAAGCTTCCTTGACAAAGAGTGCTGGTGCCTCACCAAACTACAAACTCTAGGACTCCATTGGATTGAGCCCTGCAGTCAAAATGATGTTAAACTGCATTAATTTTAAAGTGCAGGCACACCCAAGGCTTTTGCTCTTCTCTGGAGGTGCCTTACCAGCTATGACTCTCATTATTCCATAGCATTGAGCGTGGATGTCTTAAAGTGATATCAAACTGCAGTAATTCTACAATGTAGATGCACCCAAAGTCTTTATCCATCTCTCCCAAAAAATGCTGSTGCCTCACCAAATCACGGCAATGATAAWTCTCTTTATTATTGAACCTGGATAACATAAAGTGACARCAAACTGCACTAATTCTACAATATAGATGCARCCAAAGTCTTTATCCTTCRCRCCCAAAGAATGCTGCTGCCTCACCAAACTACAGCAARGACAATTCCCTTTATTATTGAACCTGGACAACTTAAAGTGACACCAAACTGCACTAATTCTACAATATAGATGCACCCAAAGTCTTTATCTTTCCCTCCCAAAGAATGCCGGTGCCTCACCAAACTACAGATATCATTATTCTATAGCACTGAACCGTGGCATGAAGTTAAAGTGATGCCAAACTGTCTTGACTTTACAGTGATGTCCTTCTTGCACCTAAGCACTTGATACAGTCTGCTCCAATGAATTTGGATTCATTCTTTCCCGATGGTTCATTCACTTCTGCCCCTTCCCTGGGGATATTTTAAAGGGGAGAGAAAGGGCTGAACAGAAGGAAGGCGAAGCCCTCTTCATCTCCAGATGGGCTCCAGGGGAGAAAAAGTCCTTGACCCTTGTCACCCAAGTGTCAATAATTCATGGGATCCCCCTTCTCATCTTACCGCACCGTTTGAATGAGCCTGACTCCTTCAAAGCCCATGCAGTCCCCGTCGAAGTGGTTTCAAAGAGGTGGCAGATGTCAAGAAACCAGTGGAAATGGGAAAAGAGAGAAAGAAAGGGGAAAGACTTCTCCGGCTTCTCTTGTGCTGTTGTTCCTGAAAGAAAAGCGAGCTCTCCAAACTAGAAGGAAACCTGATTCTCTCTTCCCACCCCCACCCCACTCCACATTTTTTTCTTTCTTTCTAAATATAGCTGGGCTCCCCAGGGTCCAGCAGCGAATCCCCGACGGGAAAAGGCGGATGAGAAGAGTACCTCGTCTTGTCTCCAAAAGGCAGCATGTCAAACAAGAGAAAGTGAGGAAAGCCAGGCGAGAGCAGCCTTGATCTCGGCAGGAAATCTTTGGCCGGACTGCAGCCCAGCCAGCCATCCATCCGGCCCCCTCTGGCTTCTTCTCTTCCGTCCTCCCCCACTGAAGAAAAAAAGGGGGAGAAGCAGAAGACCCACCCTCGGCTTAGAAAGTCCCACCGGGAGAGAAAATACACATGCTCGGGCTGCAGGAAAAGCACAGGGCTGCCCTCTGGCGAGGAAGCCACCCAAGCTACATCTACTACTAACCCTGGCAGGAATGCAGTCTGGCACCCCTCTGTCACTGCCCTGGGTCAATGCTATTGAATTGTGAGAAGTTGGGTGAAGCATCAGCACTCTTTGGCAGAGAAGGAGAAAGACCTTGTGAAATGACAACTCCATAGGTTGGAGCATGGAATGCATCTGCACCAGGCATGGGCAATCTTGGGCCCTCCAGCTGTTTTGGACTTCAACTCCCACAATTCCTAACAGCCTACTGGCTGAAGTCCAAAACACCTGAAGGGCCCAAGTTTGCTCATTTTGGAAAAAATGGAAATCTCCATAATCTTTTGGAGTTTTTATGGTCTTTGGAAAGGCATTACCTTGTTAGAAGTCACAACCTTTTGTAAAATGATGCCATATCCACGTTGCTGTAAGTTTTTTGGGCAGTATGGCCCTGTTCCAGAAGCATTCTCTCCTGACGTTTCACCTGCATCTAGGGCAGGCATCCTCAGAGGTTGTGAGGATGCCTGGCATAAATGCAGGCTAAAGTCAGGAGAGAATGCTTCTGGAATATGGTCATACAGCCTGAACAATGTACAACAACCCAGTAATTCCAGCCATGAAAGCCTTCAACAATATGATGCCACAACATCTTGGTAAAAGGATTACCTGTTATGAGTCATAATCTTTTGGGAAAATGGCATTCACCATCATTCATATATACAGCAGTTTCAGAAGTGTTCTTTTAGTTGCTCCAAAAGATTTACTCCCCCTTAAAATATATTTGCCTTTCAATCATGCTTTCAAGAGACAAAAATAAGTAGACTTCTTTAAAGGTAGCGTAGTTGGTTTAATCACGAATGCCATGTATTCAGCATACAGGTATTTTGCTAATGAATCCAGTTACAAATAAAATTTGAAGTAGTTTCACTGTTTGGACAACATAGGGCATCTTTCTTAGACTCAATATCCCATAGCCCAAAGCATCTCTCTGTTTAGAGCAGTGGTTTCCAACCTGTGGTCCATGGACCACCTGAGTGGTTCGCAAAAACTAAAATATGGTCCATAGCCTCACTGTTACTACACCATTGCAACAAGATTAACTGGTCTCGTAAAACCTCTTATAGTGCCAAGGCTTATTAAGTATGGTTTTCTGTGGGCAAGCAGATGGCGACTACTGGGTGGCATATGCTCTGTATCAGAAGGAAGGAAGGAAGGAGAAGGAGGGAGAGAGGAAAGAGGGAAGGAAGGAAAGGTGAAAGCTTCCTGCCTGTGGGAATCCTTTGTTGGGAGGTGTTAGCTGGCTAAGATTGTTTCCTGCCTGGAATTTCCTGTTTTCTGGGGAATTCTTGGGAGAATCCCAACAAAGGATTCCCCCAGATAGGAAGCAGCTAGAATTTGAAGCTGCAGGGCGATTCAATGCTAATCATGCTGGCCAATTGCAACATTCACACTTGCCCCAAACAGCAAGAGTTCTTCTCCAACCCTGGGCTTTCCACAGATATATAAATCTCACTTGTCTAGTTTCCAACAGACATCACAACCTCTGAGGATGCCTGCCAAAGATATGGGCGAAACATAAGGAGAGAATACTTCTGGAACATGGCAATACAGCCTGGAAAAACTCATAGCAACCCAGTGATTCAGACCATGAAAGCCTTCAGCAACACAATCAATGATTGTTGTGGTTGGTAGCACAAGTCTGAGGAGAATAGAAAAACATTGTTCCTGAATTCTGGAAGATGCACAACCGAATAATAGATATAAAGAAGAAATGCAGAATCCTATGGGAGAAACTGCCACTGATACAGAATCTAAGCTTGGAATGTAAAAGACATTATCCTTCAAGATTTTGTGTAGATGTGGGAAAAGTTACTTTTTTGGGACTATGTCCCATAATCCCTCAGGTCTAATATTGGTTTGTCATGTCAGAAAGAGAAGTTATACTGCTGGAAATAAACCTGCTTTCTCACATCTCAAGATGAACATACACCAAAAGTGTGATAAAGGTAAAGGTAAAGGTTTCCCCTTGATATTAAGTCTAGTTGTATCATACTCTAGAAGGTGGTGCTCATCTCCATTTTTAAGCTGAAGAGGCAGCATTGTCCGCAGACACCTCCAAGGTCATGTGGCCAGCATGACTGCATGGAGTGTCATTACCTTCCCGCCAAAGCAGAAAGGTACCTACTGATCTACTGACATTTGCATGTTTTCAAACTACTAGGTTGGCAGGACTTGGGGCTAACAGTGGGAGCTCACCCCACTCTCCAGATTTGAACTGCCAACCTTTCAGTCAGCAAGTTCAGCAGCTCAGCAGTTTAACCCAGTGTGCCGGTGCAGCCCCCCAAATGCATCAAATAATTATTTTCTCATGAAGGTCCTTCAAATTGAGTAGAGGGGGATATGCATTAATCTTTTAATGCACACACTCCTGTTGTAATACAATACTTTGATTATAACTATTCTATACAAATCTAATATAACAGTATCAACACTGGGTTGCTGTGAGTTTTCCGAGCTGTATGGCCATTTTCCAGAAGCATTCTCTCCTGTTGTTTCACCCACATCTATGGCAAGCATCCTCAGAGGTTGAAGGATCGGTTGGAAACTGTGACACAGTGTTATTAGTATCAACACTAATAACACTATGTAAAAAAATTAGAAACATTTTTGGTTCCTGGTTTGAAAGTGTTGTTTCCTGTTTAATTGCGCGGGACTTACTTGGAACATAGTTGTTATACTCCAGAAACTTTGTTTCTGAGGCTGCCACAAACAATGTTGAAATTGGTTGAAAACTACAACAAAACTTTCCCCATGGTTTTTTTTTCCTGATAGAAGCAATTAAGAAAGGACATTTATCACCATGGAACAAAAATTGTGTTACATAGTGTAATAGTAATTTAATCCTTCTCGGGACCTTTATGAGGACATTGCGGACTCACTGTTCCCAGGCTGAGAACCAGTAACTATCTACATTATAAGGTAACTATCTACATTATAGAACAGGCATGGGCCAACTTGGGCCCTCCAGGTGTTTTGGACTTCAACTCCCACCATTCCTAACAGCCTCAGGCCCCTTCCTTTTCCCCCTCAGCCGCTTAAGCGGCTGAGGGGGAAAAGGAAAGGGCCTGAGGCTGTTAGGAACGGTGGGAGTTGAAGTCCAAAACACCTGGAGGGCCCAAGTTGGCCCATGCCTGTTCTATAATGTAGATAGTTTGGCACCACTTTAACTGGCAGGGCTCAAAGCCATGGAATCCATCTCTCTTTGGCAAAGAAGGCTAAGAACTGTGTAAAGCCACATTTCCCATGTTTCCACAGCACCGATGGGCATGCAATTAAAGTGGCGTCCAACTTCATTCATTCTACAGCAAGCATGGGCAAACTTCAGCCCTCCAAGTGTTTTGAACTTCAACTCACAGAAATCCCAGCTGTTAGGAATTGTGGGAGTTGAAGTCCCAAACTACTGTAGGGCTGAAGTTGGCCCGTGCCTGTTGCACAGTGTGGCTGCGGCTCTGATTCCTTATGGTTGGGATTCATGGTCAGTCTCCTGCATCAAGAGAAATAGGAACCCTGGGCTGCACAGAGTTGGATCCATCTCTTTCCGTGATCTTGTTTGGAAAGATAAAAAGACTGAGGACATGTCTGGGAGGACATGCCCGGGTGTTGCTGGCATGGGGCTGGGTCTGGTTTCCCTAGAGCAGTCCTTCTCAACCTGAGGGTCAGGACCCATGAGAGGTTTCAGAGGGTTCACCAAAGACCATCAGAAAACATATATTTCTGATGGCCTTAGGAACCCCTTTGGAAGAAAAGGCTGAAGATCTCTTTGCCTGTCCTTCTCTTCCTTTTTGGAAATAGACTGCAGATCCTCTCACCAAAAGCCCTCCTCCACTGTGATTGCCTGGCCTCTCAGCCAAGGGGGAGGACTGTTTCTGAGACTCTAAGTGGGGAGGGGAGAGCAGGCATGCTTGGCGCATGGAGGGGAGAGCATGTGGAGCAGGAGGTTGGCTCGCGAGTCTCTTCAAGGTATGGGGGTTCTGTGCTGAAAGTTTGGCCCAATTATAACACTGATTCTACAGTTTTGTTTTGGACTTCAGTCAGAACAGTATGTTTAGATTTCAGTATGATATATGATTAGAAGCTTCAGTACAAACAGCTGTATGCTTCTAGAAGTTAGTTGAGACAGAGACTCTCTTAGGACCTCATCACTAAAGAATGAATCCACTTTAAATCTGGTTTCTGCCTCCTGCAGAATTCTGGGGTTTGTAGTTTAGTGAAGCTGGTAAAGGATTCTCCCTAAACTACAAACCCCAGAATTCTGCAGGAGGCAGCAACTGGATTTAAAGTGGATTCCTTCTCTGGTGTGATGAAGTCCTTAGATTCTCTAAACCAGCATTTCTCAACCTGGAGATGGGAACCCCTGGGGGGGGGGGTTGCGAGGGGGTGTTAGAGAGGTTGCCAAAGACTATCAGAAAACACAGTATTTTTTTGTTGGTCATGGGGGTTCTGTGTGGGAAGTTTGGCCCAATTCTATCATGGTTGGGGTTCAGAATGCTCTTTGATTGTAGGTGAACTATAAATCCCAGCAATTATAATTCCTAAATGTCAGGGACTATTTTTCCCAAACTCCACCAGTGTTCATATTTTGGCATATTGAGTATTCATGCCAAGTTTGGTCCAGATCCATCGTTGTTTGAGTCCACAGTGCTCTCTGGATGTAGGTGAACTACAACTCCAAAACTCAATGCCCACCAAACACTTCCAGAATTTTCTGTTGGTCATGGGAGTTCTGTGAGCCAAGTTTGGCCCAATTCTATCGTTGGTGGGGTTCAGAATGTTCTTTGATTGTAGGTGAACTATAAATCCCAGCAACTACATCTCCCACATGACAAATTCAACTCCCTCCCAACCTCACCAGTTTTCAAATTTGGGCGTATTGGGTATTTGTGCCAAATTTGGTCCAGTGAATGAAAATACATCTCACATCTCAAATATTTACATTACGATTCATAAC